CGGGAAACGGGTGTAAATTCCCCTCAGATCATCGGGGTTTAAAGTGCATCAGTGCAAAATATTCCTAATTCTGCATTAATCCCAAACCGCTTTTTGCATTAACTCTCTCCCTCTCTCTCACACTAACTCTCACTTTCTCTCTCTCTCTCTGTCAATCAGCCGCTGGAGGCTTTGCTACAAACAGGAGACAAATAGGGGCGGGGCCAGGGTTAGGGGCGTGGCCTGAGCTGGGGGCGTGGCCGGAGCTGGGGCGGGGCCGGAGCTGGGGGCGGGGCCGGAGCTGGGGGCGGGGCTGGGTTCGGTCACGGGGCCAGAGCAGGATTTTGATCTGTTGACCATATTTGGGTTTTAAAGGGAGGCCGTCACTGTCTTAAAGGGGAGACGAGGTTTAATGGGGTTATAGCCCTTTTTATAATAATAATAGTAATCCTTGTATTTGACCCGAGAATCATCACGTCTTCGGAACGTCTCAAAGCGCTTCACAGTATATACCGTATACTATCTCTGTAACAGGTCCTGTAGTTTAGGGATTAGAGCCCTCGCCTCGCAAGCCAGCGACAGGGGGTCAATCCCCAATTGGGGGCGAAACCTTGTGCAAGTTTCCTCTCCACGCACAGACACACCAAGACACGCGCACACGGGCACACACAAAGATACACCACGATACACATACCGTCATAGACACTCATACACAGACGCACAAACACACAGACACATAGACACAGAGGGACACACAGACATGCACAGACACACAAACACACACACACACACACATACACAGCCCGGGACGGGCAGAGATCGCATTGTCGACCCGAGTGTCCATCAAACAAGATTGACTTGATTCCCACATTGTTTGCCAAGCTCCAGATCAGCTCGAGAGAGACCCTGTTCACTCCCGTAACGGAGTAGAAGGGATTGTTTTTACTAAACAGGCGCTTTGAGGCGCCTGTGAGACTCTCACAGCGCAATATCGAATGACAAGATTATTACTGTTATTATTATGTTTGATGAGAATACTGTGGGTAGTTACAAAGCGCAGCACTGCCCTCTGGTGGCAGTGAAGTTGTGCTGCAGGGTTTTTCGAGGGGCAGGAAGAGGATTTCACTCTGTAACAATAATAATGATAAAAATAATAATAATTCTTGCATTTCATCCAGTGCCTTTTCACATCTTCTAGACGTCTCAAAGCGCTTTACAGAATATGCTGTCAAGTGATTTGACTGTACATATGTGGATGAAGCGCGGCAGCCAATTGCGTACAGCAGCGACCCACTATATGGATTGAGTGATCAAATTCTCTTTTTTTTCTTGATGGATCATTATTTAGCATTTATACACCCAACCGCTCCCATTGTCTCTCCTGTATACACACAGCCACTCCCAATGTCTCTCCTTTATACACACAGCCACTCCCAGTGTCTCTCCTGTATACACACAGCCACTCCCAATGTCTCTCCTGTATGCACACAGACTCTCTGTGGGCCTTTTCTGTATAAACATCCTCTTCCATTGCCTCCGGTTGTATACACACAACCTCTCCCAGGGTCTCTCCTGTGGACACCCGACCTCTCCCAGTGTTCCTCCTTCATACACAGCCTCTTCCAGTGTTTCCCAATGTATACACCAGCCTCTCCCAGTGTTACTCCTGCATAAACGCAGCAACTCCCAGCGTTTCTCCTTTACACACAACGTGATAGAGAAACTTTACACCTTCACACCTACCTCTCCCGCTGTCTCTGTTGTATACACACAGCCTCTCCCAGTGTTTCTCTTGTACACGTCGCCTCTTCCCGTGTCTTCCACTGTATAAACCAACCTCTTCCACTGACTCCCCTGTATATACACAGCCACTGCCAGTATCCTGCCTGTATACACACAGCTCTCCCAATCTTTCTCCTGTACAAACAGCCTCTTCCAATATCTCCCACACACACACAGCCTGTCCGGTATCTCTCCTGTACACACACAGTATAAAAATATAAGCAACTCACTATTTCACTAACTGACTATCTCACTCACTAACTCACTCACTCACAGACTCACACGCTTAAAGGAAAGCGAAATAATTCAGCAAAGTCTTTTGCAAACTGAATCAACCGTAAGTTGTGACTAACACATTGAATCAGCCTTAGACAGGTATTACCTGATTTCTATCACATGTGTTGTAGAAAATCTCTTATTTCCAAGGGAAGAAAAGACGGATTTGGAATCAAACAAACTTATATTGCCAATAATTTCATTTCTATTTGCAGAATAAAAATATTCATCATTAGAATATGAATCACTATCAAAAAACTGCATAAAAAATTATATAAAACTGCAGACAGTATTTTGATTTAAAGCGAGTCCGTCCTCTTCTTAAAGGGGAGACGTGTTTTTTGGGCGATTAAAAAGTCTTATTGTAACAACAACAATAATATTTGTCTTTGTCCCAGCGCCTTATCACGACTTTGAGACTTCTCAATGCGCTTCACAGGACAGTGTAGTGACTGAGATTTTGCAGGATTCAATGCAAAGTTGTCTTTGTAAAGTGTCATGTAGCTCAGGGGGTTAGATACACAACCACACACAGTCACACACGTATACACACAGAGAGAGAGAGACACGCACACACACACACACAGGCACAAACATACACACACAGACAGCGATACACACGAGCATCAACGCAGACAGATACAGAGACAGACAGATGACAGACACAGGCACAGGCACACAGACACAGAAACGCAGACACAAACACACACAGAAACAAACAGACACACACAGAAACACACGACACACACACAAACACTGTCACAGTAATACACACACTGACACACACACACACACAGGCACAGAAAGACACACACAGACAGGCACACGCACGCACACACACACACACACACACACACACAAACACACGCACACACACAGCCCGGGACAGGCAGAGATCACAGTGTCCACCCGAGTGACTATCACTCAGGAATGGTTCCATTCCACATTTGTTGCCGAGCTCCAGATCAGCTCCAGGAAGACACTGGTCACCTCCCCTCAAGGAGGAGAAGGGAGTTGACTAAACAAGCGCTTTGAGGCGTCTGCAAGACGTGAACAGCGCAATATCAAATGCCGAATTATTATAAATAGTTTAATTACTCAGAACATTGTGAGCAGTTACACACTACAACACCACCCTCTTTATTTGTAATTTGAACCCAGACTAAATCACAGCAAATGATTATTTCCCTCAAATCCACAACAGCCACCAGGAGAGATGCAGAAGCAATGAATTGCTGTCTGTGTCTGACCGCTCTCTGGCGTTAGATGGTGATAACCAGACCCAGGGACTGAGCAACACAATTAATGTCATGGGATTCAGTGCGAAACTGTTTATTGACATAAGCACACGAAAATGATTGAAAATGGATTCGTCAATTATAAGCCAACACTGAGGAGAAGCTCCGAGCCCCAACCCTCCGTGAAGGAGGAGAAATAAACGCAGTTTGTTTGTTTGTTTGTTGATGAGAAACTGCGAACTAACTCGGAATCTCTGTCTGTTTTGCGGCCTTGGACGTCCAGCCGACATGATAGACTTTTACACCACGTCATGTTGTTTCTCTCTCTCTCTCTCTAACACTTTCTCTCAGAATTTTACACTCTCTCTCTGCCTCTCACATTCATTATCTAACTCTCTCTGTGTCTACACTCATACTCTCTCTTTCTCTCTCTCTCACTCTCTCCATTGTAGAGAGGCAGAGTGAATGTGGGTGAGAGACAGTAAAGGAATGAGTCACTCTGTGTGTTCATGGACCTAACGTTTCAGGAGGTTGTCATCCCACAGCGCTCAGAGAGAGTATCTGTACATGTGGTAGGAAGAGGGGACGGGCAGTGCAGAATTCACATGAATGTGTGGCATTATCACACATGTCCGGTCAGGGAGAGGACAAGTCTGTGGAGAGGAGCCAATGGCAAACGGATGCTCAGTGGGACACCGAGAAGAGTTTCAATGAAACTGTCATTGGGGACAAATCTTCAAAGGAATAGACAGATGTTTCTCTCGTGGTCACAGAAGATGAGGATGCAGCCAATGCTACAGTATCGGATAAGAGGGCAAATAAATTATCTATGTCAAGAATAAAGCGAGAGGAATTACTACAAATCAATCGGCGCACAGGGTAGATAATATACCCAGACCGGACGGGATGAATCCTAGTTTACCGAAGAAAATAAGTGGGGAAACATCGGAGGCTCCGGGAAAAATCTCTCAATTCTCTTTGGACACCAGTGTGCTGCCAGCAGTCGGAAGTGATTCGAGTGTTAGTCTCCTGTACAAAAAGTCGCAGGTTAAACCCGGAACTGTAGGCCAGTCAGTCTCACTTCAGTCGTGGGGAAAACTCTGGAGAGTGCAATCTGGGAAAAAATACATTCCCATAAAGGAAATTTGGTTTAATACAGAAGAGCCAATAGGGTCTAACAAACCGGACAAAGTTTTTTTATGAAGTAACGGATAGGGTGGAGTAAGGTTCCACGGTTGGTGTTGCTACGCATTTACAAAAGGCGTATTAGATAGTACCATATAAGACACGTGTGAGCAAAATAGAAGCCCACGATTTAAAAGGTACAGTGGCAGCATGGAAACAGAATTGTCTCGGATACTGAAAGCAGAGTGTAGAGGTGAACGGTTATTATCGTTCCTAATATGAGGACTTGCAGATATGCAAACAATGCTGCAGGTGCAATCTATCGAGTGATATGCACACATGTGCCATTGCCAGTTCACTTGTGTACACTCTGGTTCTACCTATAAAACCCAGTACACTGGCAGCTTTTACATAGACATTTCGACACCCATTGGTTGAAAGGATATACTAGGTGGCACTGTTAGTATGGAGGGAAGTATGCAGTGGTGTTCCCCATTTGTCTGTATCAGGACCACTGCTGATTTTGATCGATATATATTAAATATTCAATATATTAACAAAACGGGCAGCGCCTTCCTTGGTGCAGAATAGGAACGGAACATGGAGGCTGCTAGTAACTTAGACATTGAAAGTGCCACCTCGTATAACCTTCCCATCAATGCGTGTCGAAATGTCCATGTAAAAGCTGCCAGAGTACAGGGCTTTTTAGGTAGAAGCATGGTGTGCACAAGTTAACTGGCAATGGCACATGTATGCATATCATTCGACAGATTGCACCTGCAGCATTGTTTGCATATCTGCAATTTCTCACATTAGGAACTATAATAATGTGTCGGAATGGAAACAGAGGAGATGTACCAGAATGATACCAGGGAAGTGCGCCTTTTGAGTAAATGGTTCATTTTAGTTATCTGATGTTTGGTGACCATCTGACTGAAGAAAGTGCAAATCTCTGAGCTGTCCAGAGCAGCCGAAATGCACTGAATGATTGAGCTCGGCTGGAGCAAAAACTTCAAAGCTGGTCAATAAAGGCAGCATCTGGCAAAGAATTTAGCAACTGTCCTTCTAGCCAAACCCGAGAAGATTTGACGTTGCATCACTGGGCACACAATAGGAGGCAAAGGATGGACAGAATGTGTACACACAGCGCAACGTGTGCTGATGATCTCAGCTGTTAGACGGATAGGTGAGCAACAAAAATGATTCAATGAATGGAGGGCCTGGACGATGAGGTGTGGATAAGTACATTGGCCATGTTCACACCGCAAAAGATATGTTTGGGAGTCGATTGCTGCCTTTAGAAATCTAAATGGTGAAATTCAGAATAAGTTTACACAACTATTATTTCAGTCAGCGAATAGTTAATCTGTGGAAAATGCACCCGAGGGAGTCAGAGGCTTGAAGCAGCGAGTGTTGGTTTTTTGAAACACGGATCTCATATTTTCTCTTATGAAACAACATTGTGTGATTTAGCAAACAGAGAGATTGCATAACAGGTGCATTCACTCTGTGATAGTTTGGGACAATATTGGTTTCACTCTCATTGTGTAAGACAAATCTTTGTGGTGGTTGTTGGGCCAAGACAAGACCAGCCTTTTCGTTATACCCAACCCACGACCCTGGTAACGAAAACAGTCTGATAACAGTGACCTCAGCAGCCATTCATGCCCTCTTCTGCAGGGGGGCAACTTCCAGAGACAACAGTCTTCCCGAGAAAAAATACGTTTTCACTTAGAAATATATGGTTCAATAAAAAACAGCCAACACGGTCTAAGTTTTTNATGGTGTAACGAAGAGGGTGGAGGAGGCTTATACAGATCGTGCAGTTTATATGGAATTTCAAAAGGCTTATAGTAAAGTGCTATAAAAGACACTTGTTACAGAACAGAAGCCCAAGATTTTAAAGGGACGGTGGCAGCATGGAAAGAGAATTGTCTCGGATAACGAAAGCAGAGAGTGGTGGAGAAAGGTTGTTTTTCTCTGTAGAGGGAATTCTGCAATGCTTTCCCCAGTGATGTGTATTGGGACCACTGCTGTTTTTGATCCGTGTATATATGAAATTTCTATTGTAGTAACACAACGTTAGCGAATAGTATTTCTATGGAAAATGCACCCTAGGGAGTCAGACGCTTGAAGCAGGGAGTATTGACACTTTGAATTACGGATCACATAGTTTTCTGTTATGAAATAACATTACGTGATTCAGCACACAGTGAGATTGCGCAGCAGGTTCATCCACTGTCTCACAGTTTGGGACAATGTTGGTTTCACTCTCACTGGGTAAAAACAATTCGTTTTGGTGGATATTGTGCGAGGACAAGACCAACGCTTTCTTTATATCCAACCCACGGGCCTAGTAATGAAACCCGTCTTATAATATTGACCTCAGCCACCATTCATGCTCTCTGATCAGAACCCACAACCACAGTCATTTACTCAACATGTAACTGGCCTGACTCAGACACAGGCTCACCCTGACCACTACACGTGTTAGATTTCATTCCAGCTTTCTGTTTTTCAACACGTCACCTTAACGCTGGCTCAGGCCCCATGAGATCATGCCAACCTCCCCCAAGGAATCCAGTCAGCAGTTCGTAGCAGAAGAGGAACATTGGTATTTCGCAATCATTTGTGCAAATATCTTATTCCCAGTGGAGACAGTTCTGGGATATAAAGACTGGCAGCTTTGAGTGTCCAGCACTGACAGCCTATCCGCTGGTGATACACAATGTTGAAGGCTATAGCCTTCATTCCGTGGCAGTATCTGCCAACACTTTTTCGGATAATGATAGTTTATTATCCTATTCTTGCAGCTATTGGTATTGCAGGTAATTAGTTAGATACAAATTTTACTTGTATCCCGATGTACCACAAGTTTGCGCATGGCACACACATCTACTTCTACTTCTCCAGCTGTGACTTCTGTTCCGCTGATGTCTTTTTTGATGTCTCTATAAAGATAAGATATTGTCGTTTGCTGAACCCTCTCCACTCTCGCTGTGAGACTGATAGTGTGTCTCTTCTTCTTTGAGGGTCTGCTCGTTACTACGTGTGTTACAATGGTGACCGTAGGTACAGTCCTAAAAGAATATCTTTCGGTCTGATCTGACGGTCGCTCAAAAGGGTGTGAGTTGGAGACATTGAGCCTCCAGAGTTTCAGGACACATTGGCTGTAAGAATGTCTGGCGGTGAGGAAGGATTGATCAGATGAGCGAGCCAATTCTGTCAGTAGGTTGAGAGACAGAGGTATGCCAGGGCAGGGAATGGTTTGCAATAATTTGAGTATCTTGGTGTCAATGTGTTTTCTGGAAAGGAGGCAGGAAATCCTGGCGATGACTGGAGTGATGGAAGTGCGGAGATTGTGTGTGAGTGCACATGTTTTCAATGAGTTGGTATGTTGTGAATGGAGGGAGTTGGGGTGACCTGTGTAAAAAATAGATAATCTGGAAATTTTCGATGTCTTACTATAAATAGCGCGATTGAGCCCTCTGTTTCTTATACGTTATTGCGAATTATACTGTTCGTGAGGCGAATTCTTTTCACATTTATACAGTGGAATTTTTAACGCCATCTTCAATTAGTAGAGGTGAATTTACGTTCGTATATGTTAAGTATGTTCTCATCTGCAGGAACACATGTTGATACTAAATATGGTCCACATCTTCAAATTTATATTCAATGGTTATACTTGACAATGTCCTGTCAGAATGTAACATGATTGTAACCAGAGAAGAGCAAAAAATATTTGAGGATACAAACTTTATTTGGTGTATACATGGCCAGGAAATTTGGAGAGAACTCATTCTATTTTCTGGTAGTGTCACAGGAGATCTTTCATGTCCAACAGAACAGGCGACAGACAGGGAATTTGGTTGAACTTCTTACATGTTACTCGGTTTTCTTTCGTCTGTAGTTCATTCGTTAAATCATATCTGTAGCTCATTGGTTACCGAAATCGCCTGTTAAGCGAGATACCTGTGTTTGATCATTTCAATATTCCTTATTAATGCTTTGAATTTTTTTTTTAAAAAGGGCCCATCAATCCATGAGTATTGATGGTAAACTGCTGCGTGAATGAACTTTGAGCAAAATACCATCAACTTACGCAGCGCACAGGTAAATATGTTTGTTTGCTGTTCCATTTTCTCACAGCGAATCTGTTGGCCATTGTGGTCCTGTCCCGGGGAAAGTGTGGGCTCTCAAAATGTATCACCCTCTACATGGTGGCCATGGCAGTGGCCGATCTCCTGTTCGCCATCAACGAAGTGGTTTTGAACCACATACATGCTCTTTACTTCAATCACACATTTCTGGACATCATTCCCGTGTGTTCACTCAGATTGGTGCTGATGTCGGCGGTGACACATATGTCAGTCTGGTTCACAGTGGCTTTCAGCTTTGATCGCCTGGTCGCCATCTGTTGTGTGAAACTGAAATCAAGTTATTGCACCGAGAGAACAGCAGCCGTGGTTGAAGGAATGATTTCTTCTCTGAGCTGTTTCATCAGCATTCCCTGGTACTTTATGTTTGAGCCCAGAGAGATAGTGAACAAAATGCCTTGGTTTTGCAATGTCAAAACGGTTTACTACACCACTCCCACATGGATTGTATTTCACTGGTTTGACACAATAATAACACCGTTTGTTCCATTCTTTCTGATTTTGATGATGAACGTGGTGACAGTCAGTCACATTTTAGCGGCCAACGGAATCCGCAGAAAACTCCTGCACCAGAAACGTAATAGTGGCAATGATGCAGAGATGGAGAACCGAAGAAGATCCATCATCTTACTCTTCGCCATGTCAGGCAGCTTCATCCTTTTGTGGCTGACGTATGTTTTAAATTTCATATTTTTGCGAACCTTAGACAATTATTTATACCGAAGTCACAGAGACCCAGTCTTTGTGGTGCAACAAGTGACAGACATGCTTAAGGTTTTGAGTTGCTGCACAAATACCGTCATTTATGCTTTAGCACAATCTAAGTTCAGAGATGATATCAAATGTCTGGTGATCTATCCGTTTAAACACATATTTTATCTATTTAAATAAAGGTAAATGTGTGTCACACGGTTAATTTTTAAAACGTTGACAACGAATCATAATTTAACGAGGCAATTGATAGCCTGGCATTTATTTCAAGCTGTCCGCAGCAATAATAATAATCTATGCGATATTTATGAAGCATTACCACGCCTTCCGAAAGTGTTTCACAGAAGATAATGTCATGTAGGTTCCAATTAACGGAAGAACGGGGTTCCTTGGCCTGTACGCCTACTCATTGCTCCATGAAAGTAAGTCCAGACTCTTTGGTATTATTACTATTATTATTTTATTCCAGATTCCATTAAATCTATGCTCATCCAAAGTCATCAAGCAGCAATCACGGTTTGCAGTTTAACCAGAATTTTTTTAAACATAAACTTATCACAAGCTCAAACTTGAATAAAAAATAAATAAATAGATTATTCAAATAGATGTTGGTTAGACGAGTTGAATTAACGACGAAAGCCATATGTTAAGAAGGTTAGAAATGTAACAGAAAAAGAGGGCGAGAGATGTGGATCAGTGGGAAGGAGCCATAGATGTGCCGTTTATGTAGGGCTATTGGGTGAGCAGAGGATCGAGGTGGCTTCTAAAATACAAGAATTCAATCATGTATCGGTCTTTGGTTAGTTTTAAAGGGAATAAAATCAAGTGTTCTCTTCAGGTTGGTATTTTTTAGTCATTGACAGAGGCTTCGAGATTCATGGCAAATTATGTGGCAAATAAACACTGGAATTTTATCCTGTAACATATTTGTACCTGTTGCTGAATTGTACACAGTTTACGTTCTGTATTTTGTTATTTGATGAGTTACCTTATCAGCTAATAAACAATTCGCCTAACTTGAGCAAAGCAATTGTGTCATATTGTATTCTCTTGTTGTTCTAAAGATTGGCAGTTCAATTCGAGTCTGTAAGTATGTTGACCCCAGCGATGCTGGAGTTTGTTATTGCTGTTATCAGCCGCGAGGCAATCACTGTCTGGAGGAGTTGGCGGTGGCTAAGGATGTGATTGATTAGAGAAATGCTCGCCTTCCTGACCCACTGCAGCAATGGCCGGTATTATTCCACTCTGCACGCTGAGGCCTCCCAATCGCCGGCTCCTCCTGCTGCCACATGAGTAGGTTCAACAGGGAGGGAGCGGAAGGTAGAAGGTTGGAAATGGTATCTAGCCGAAAAAATTCACCACCGGGACACATGCGGCCCGCGTGCCGTCATCTGGGCACCGCTGTTGTAAAGTATCGAGACACTGCAAGTGATTGTGGCAGTCAATTTGCATTTAAGTGAACGTCCAGTTTTTATTGATGGTGTTGTCAGCCAGGACACCAGGAGAATCTCACTTCCATTTTTTCATCAATTTCTTTGTACGGAATATTGTCAAAAAATATATATATACAGACTTACCCACAAACAAACACACAAACTCCGAATCACACACACAACAGCACAGAAACACAGAATTACAAACACAAAGAGATAAACACTCACAAACACACCCAGATATGTAAAGAGGGAATGAAACACACAGGCACATACGCAAACAGAAACACACCCACATATTCACTCACAGAACACTCACACACGCACAGACACAAACACAATCGAAAACAACAACAAGAGAAACTTCAAATTGTTCAGCGCCGTCCACGTCTAGGTTTGTCCCAGTTACATACGCACAGACAGAGAGAGACACACACACAAATATACATTGGAAAGTTTGGTAAAAGTCATATCAAGCGGCTGCAAGAATGCTGGAAGGCAAACGAGATGAATTTCCGTCATCTCTAACTCAGGCAATTCCTATTTTCTTATGTTCTTATAATCGTATCCCTGACAGCTGTGAAATAAAGTCAAACGCCGTTAATATCTAATGGTTCCTGCTCATTAAACTGTCAGCCGGAACATTCGCCACGGATCAGAGTTGATCCCGCTATCATTTGAACAGGGACTGAACTCAGGATAAACTTCTCTGTGCGAGTGTGCTTGAAAGCCTACGGATGAGACATATTATCAGTGTTGCAGAATGCCACCTCTCCCCACTCAGTCTCTAGGTGGACTACCAGGACCAGGACTTCTCTCTCAGGCGGGTACGAGGTGAGGTCAGAGCTTCATATTCATCCCCAGTTCTCAGCCACAATCCAAGATTGAATCTTGTTCTGAACTGTCACACAACGGGACAGGTATGAGCCCTGAAGTTCTTCATTTGATCGTCAGCGAGACACATTGGTGCTCAGGTAGCAAAATGATCCTATCTGGACTTCTTAAAAAAACTGAAAGCCATCATATCCATTTAATTTTTCACAATGCGATACAATAATATTACAAATTATTGAAAGAAATTTGTGCCATTTGATTACAAATTTACACTCATATACCGCGTATCAATTTGGGAGGTCAAGTCAAATGCTCATCGTACTCATCAAGTTGGGGGGGGTCAGAGCTGAATGGGGTAATTTGGGGAAAGGTGATCCCTGGTGAGCGCAAAGATAGAGGACTTGAGACAGACTTGCATAAGTTAAACCAGGTTGTCAGACAAACCTACTGCGGAATGGAGATACGGAGTGTGTCCAGAATGGCAGAAAGCCCCATGGTGTGTGTCATGTGAGGTATTTCATGCAGACTGGTAATGTTGGAGGTTAGAGAGTGCTTTCTTATTTGTGGTGCCCTGTAGCTGAGTGGTGAGAGCAAATAATAATCCCTCCAAAGTAAAACAATATTAACTTGGTCACCATCAATCCACGACTGTTGGTAGAACAATTCTGTACGCAATTGGCTTCCCCTATTTGCCCACAGATATAGAGTTAATTCACTTTACAGTTTAATCTGTGAAGCGCTTTGAGACGTCGAAAAGACGTGAAAAGCGATATATCAAATGCAAGGATTATTATTTTTATGATTTTTATTATCTGGATGTGACAGAAGTAGGGTGGTAGTGAAAATTTGATCCTTATGGACAGCGGCATGGACAGCCAATGGAGGACAGTTAGACAGTGGTTTACTGGCTGGTCGTGTATTTTGTCCACAGCGGAATCCAGCGGACACGACTTGCGGTTCGAGTGCTCAATTCAGCACCAATCTACGCAAACACTATATCAGTCAGCGAATAGCGAACTTGTGTAACAGGCTCACGATGGAGACGGTTGAATCAGGAAGTATTGATTCTTTGAAACACAGATTAAATTGTTTTATTTGAGGAAATAACACTATCTGATACAGCAAACAGGAGTTCGGGATATATGTGCAGGCACCGCATGTAGGTAGAAGTCGAACTGGATGGATCTTTATCATTTTCCATTCAGCATTTCGGATATTATTCTGATCTAAAAACATATGAGTTACCGAGATCTTGATGTGTGGCCGGTTGTGCAGGGCAGAGTTTTCGAAGCTCACAATCAGAACGTTAGTGCTGTCAAGCCGACGTTTTGTACCCAACAAATACATCTTGCAATTATACAGCGCCTCTCACATAGGGTGGTATGTCAAAGCGGAGGACAGTGGTGGTGCACCGCAATGTGAGAGGCAACTATCAGGGCGTCTGATCTCCAGCTTCCTGGTTCCCCAACGTAACTCTTTGTGGGGAGAATGCACTCCACAGAACAGCAAAACAGAAGCAGAAGACATAAGATGCAGGCAGATAATGAGAAGCACATAAATAATAAAGTGATAATAATCGGTAGCTAATTCATCGTACAAATAGACGAGCAGAATGATGGAAAGCCGAAGTCAAAGAGAGAAAGTACTTTTCTGCGTGCAGCTTTCATATCTGTTCCAATGTACAGCAACTTCGACAAGGCAAGATGCGCTGCTCTACCTTTTGATTGGCCAATAGAAAAGTGAGACGCATTTTTTCAGCGGCATCCGCTTTAAATGTCCGCCTGCAAAAAACTTTGCACTCGATTATAAACAACCAGAACATATATTCGAATACGAGAGGACCAAGGGCAAATCTCCAAGGAACGCTGCACGACGCTTTGTGGTGGCTGAAGAGAAGCCATTCGTGGAGACAAAGAGGAGATGGTCTGAAAGTTAGGATGATAACCAAGAACAGAAACATGAAGTTTCAGGTAAGGGGAGAGGAGGTGAGAGTCCAGGTCCACTGTTGCCCTCGAAGACTGCCTTTCAGACATCAAGCCCAGGGTGAGAGATAACTTTCTCCAGTTGAATGTCAACAAAACCGAGGCCCTGGTGCTTGGCTCCCTTCAGCGCCTCCATAACTCGGGCAGCGACAGCATTACATTTCCTGGGTGGACTCTACATCTCAGTAATCAACATGTGGAGTGCTGTAGCTCAGTGGTTAGAGCACTCGCTTTCCAAGGGAGAGACCTGAGTTGAATTCCAGGCAGGGCGAAACCTTGGGCAAGTTTCCTTACTCCACACAGAGCCTAATAATAATCCCTCCAAAACTAAAAACAATAATTAAATTGGTCATTTTCAATCTACGACTGTTTGTTGTTCATTGCTGTGCGCAAATGGCTGCCGCGTTCGCCCACAAATATACAGTCAATTCACTTTACAGTGTGTTCTGTGAAGCGCTTTGGGACGTCCTCCCTACGTGAAAAGCGCTATATCAAATGCAAGGATTATTATTATTATTATTATTATTATTATGTATCGTGTTCGACACTCAAAATTAAATCATCCTGGAAATACGCACCATGACTTGCTTCGCCGTTCCCCACCTACGCACCGTTGCACGTTGCCACAACTCTCTATCACAGCAGGTGGCCGAGATCCACGCAAACTTGATCCACTAAAATTTAAACTAAAAAAGTTGTTCGTGTGAATCG